TTCTGACTGAGCGGGACTGTACTCCAATCATAAAGCCCTTCTCATCCATATTATATATATGTCGCGGCTCTACTTTATATTGATCGATTTTTTGGCGTAGAAGCTCGAAGTAGAGCTGATATTTCTTTTCTGAATCAGCTCGGCGCCGGCTACGATCGATTGGCGTGGTGCGCTTGAGTATAACGAGATGCGAGTTACGATGAACAAAGCGATCAACCCAGTGATATCCGAGCTGCTTCTGAGCTAGCTGCGACGCGATATTTCGAATGATACTCCGTGTGGGTGCTAGGCCTCGCTTAGTGAGTCTATCGATATAGTCGATAAGCTCAGCTTCATGTTGTGGGTGGACTGCCTGCTGGTTTTGTGCAGCTGCTTGTCTGGAGCGAGAAATACCTCGGTGGCGGCGGCTCAGCGTTCCTGGGTCAACACCATATTTTTTTGCAATTTGAGAATACACAAGTTTTTCATTAGGCTTCAAAGCGTTAATAGCAGCAAGCGCAGCGTCAATTGATTGCATTGTGGTCACGTTATGGGTGGTTGAAGTGGATGGAATAATTGGTGTTGGAGGACGTAATCCGGCGTTGGCCCGTCCGCGGCGTTGGCCCGTCCGGCACCTCTACGATCACATCCTTGACTTGGCACTTTCACCTGCAGGAACGCCCAACCTGCAATGCCTAAGTAACATGTCCTGGCGACTTTCGTCATTATTGCGTCTGCCGAGAATGAGTAGCATCTTCCTTTCCCATATACAGATGATGCTACATGTAGCTCGTGCGTGCAATCGTCCACACCTGAACCATGTACATGGCTAGGGACAGAGCTGTAATTAAAGTCATCTTTACAGGAATGATCAGCAGGCATCTTGTAGTTCTACTTACGTTGAATTAACGGCTTCCTGCGACTGGGTCAGAACCGTTCTACTAAACTTCGTTGCCCCTTCAGACAGGCCCCTCAGACTTGCAGTGTTTCGGTATTTTGCCTGGAGCAGTTTATTCGGACACAATATCGTTTTCAAATAGCTGTGTCAATGGCAAACAATCAATAGAAAACTTGTCAATGTCTCTTAGACACACGGTCAGTATAGGCAAATTGACATGGAATATCAAGCCCAAGAGTTACTACCACTGTGGAGGCAAGTAGCTCCCGGTTAACGGTAGTTCAGGTGATCGTCATATTAGACAACTGGTCTCTTATAAGAAGATGGCAGCACAGATATATAGTGTAGGCACACACTCTATTCTTACTCAAGGCAAGCTCAGCAACAAAGAAGATGATACCTAAGGCGCTTGGTAAGCAGTGTTCAGATGTGCGATAACTCTCAGAGCGCAGAAATTTCAATACGCAATTATGGAGAATATCCATTGACACCTGAGTGTCATGTCGAGCCTAAGTGTGCAATTGTCAGGATATTGTTCAAGAGTGGAAAGGAAGTGGAGATAGTCAGATTCGTTTCGATGTTGGCATACAAACCCATGAAGGTCTCTTTTTTTCTTTTTTTTTTGCGTGTGTCATACTAAAGAGCAGAGAGTTTTCCTGCTAGTACCTTGTCAAGTAGCAAAACTACTGTACATTAACATCACGTTCATCCATACAGGTTGTTACCGTCGACGCCTACGCGTCCTGCCCAGTCCTCCCCAACATAATATCATCTTACCACTGATGTTTCTTTAGACCGTCGAGTAGAGCTCATCAACGTTCAGTCTCGTACGGGAGTTGTAGGGGGGTATCAAACAAACAGATGACCTGAAGCGGGCGCTTGAGGGCTTGCGTCGAATGGATGATTGTGTAATATCGTTTCCTTGGTCAGCGACAGACCATGATACCTAGTGGCATTGCAGCGTACAGTCCGGCTGTAGCTCGACCACTGTTGGCGCAGTCGTGGTTCTGTCGGTCTCAGCTGCGAGCAGCAATTTCCAGGAGGAACTGTCAGCCGCATGATCCACCGGCAGCCACCACCTTGCGTAGATTATTTTCTTTTTCCCATAGGCGACCTGGTTCCTGGTTCCAGGTGCGTGGTAATGGCCTTGGCGGTTTGCACGACTCCAATCTCTAGCCTTTAGCTCCCACCATCTTTCTAACATGCGCCGTCTTCCACCCTCTTGACATCTCCAGGTGCCCGGCAAGACTGTTCTTGGATGCTCCAATCTTTCTTCTGTAGCATCACCATCAGCCCATGTCTACGTCGACATCAGCCTCGCCCTCGTCCTCGCCCTCGCCCTCGCCCATGGCATCTATCAGTTCGCTCTCTCCACTCTCTCCGCTCGTCTCTTCGCTATCGCTGTCCTCGTCAACGATTTTGCCCTCAACTTCACATTTTCTTGCAAAGCAGCACCCTTCCTTTTCGTCTTTTGCACCAATACCTATGCCGACATACATGCCCTGTCTGACTTCTTCGATGATCTTGTCGATGTCGACGGTGCATCCACTGTCGTTGTCGTAGATTATTTTCTTAGCGCGGCTGTTGGCTGCTGACTTAGTTGAGTGCACGGAGATGATGTGCGTGCTGCCAATATTGGCCTCGAGACTTTGTGCTGTCGGGTAGCAAGTGTCGGTAACAATGTAGATGATGTGGGGGCCGGATGGCGAGTTTGTCGTTCTGGTGGGCGGCCTGGTGGACAGCGGGGGCGGTATCTCAATGCTTTGTTGAATGTACGAGTCGCCAATGTTGTGGGTATGGGGCGTGGGCGTTGGACCGTCTTTGGCGTCGATGCAGTGTGGACAGTAGTGACTGCTGGCCTCGGACGCTGTGCTGGAGGTCTGGCGTGCGTTGGACGCCATGGCTGCTGCTGACTGATAGCGGCAGTAGGGTGGGGGTGGGCAGTGGGATGACAAGGTCGAAGATGGGTGTAAAGTAAAAGGGATTGCAGCAAAGCAAACAAAAAAATGAGGATCAAAAGAAGGTTGCCAAAATCATAAGAGAAGATGTGTGCAAGAGAAGCCCCTGCTCGAGTGCAGCCGCTGGAGGGCAACAAAAGCGAGGGTGCTGGTGTGTCGGTTGGGCAATTGCAAAATTCACGATGCTTTGCACATGGGATTTTGCACAAACCGGGGAGGGGTTTTGGAAATCATCGATGCGCGGCTAGACCGCATTGTTTAATTTATAGTCTGGCGCAGTTTCCTGCGTGTGGCTTTGAACTCGTCTCCGCGGAGGGCTGGCAGTTGATGGAGAGAAAGAAAGCAAGACGATGGTGAAGGAAGCAGAGAGAAGAAGAGAGCAGAGGCTGGAGAATTGTGCATTTCTAAGCTCACCTGTTCTGCCCTCGTCGTGGTGGTGCGACTCTGCGTGTGGCTATTCTCGCGAGCGTCCTCAGCTGTTGCGACAACTACCCGCATGTTTTTTGTCGCCACCCAGAGACCCAACTCAATCGTACCCAAGCCTGGCATTGGGTGGAACGTTCCAGGTTTTTCTTTTCTTTTCTTTTCTTCTCCCGTCTCTTTTGGCAATCTCTTCTTTCGCGCCGATTACACGGCCAGGTTTGCGCGGCCCGAGCGCGTGGGAGGTGGCCCTGAGCATTGCGTGTTCAATGGCGGTCGGTGGCGGCGGTGCTACTCCCCCGACCGACTCCGCCGTCGCCACCAAGGGAGTGGAAAGAGAGGTGCGGAATGCAGGGGAGTGGAGTGGACAAGGCATGGCATGGAGCGGGACGCAAGAACAAAACTGTCGTGAACGGCCTTTTTCCTTGTTTTGCACCGTATGTGCAGCAGCGATCGACTAGGATCTAGATTGGAGATCGTCTCCTGCCCTTCCGATCCCCCCGCCCTTCTCCCTCCGCTCGACCCGTTGCCCGTTGCCCGTTGCCCGACTGTTCTGGCCCATGAAAGAGCCCTATGGTGTGGGTGCGAAGGACGGCGGGCGACACAAGCCTCATCCACGCACTACTTGACCCGGGCCTGGGCCTGATTAATGCGGGACGTGTGGCGGCGACGAGAGGTGAAGCCGTGCTAGTGGCGTATCTCGTGTCTGCCAGAGAGAGACGCAATCGGACCCTGCATCGTTGCCCAACGCCCATGTCCCAGTGCATAACAGCATATCATTGCGGCCCGGATGCTGTGGATACGCATGTGGCGCCAACTTGGCCATGGGACTGACAGAAAATGCTCCGTCAAGTCGATCCGGCTGTTCCTTCCGATGCATGTCTGTGCATGGCAGTGCTGGTCCGCAAAGTTAATAACCATCCTCATCTTGCACGCTTATCTAGTGTCATGTGGACGCTCCGTCCGCTCATCCTGCCACTCCATGTACTCTATACTTACCTACGCCACACTTTTAGCATGCATCATCACAGCACCCCTTCTCCCCGCCAACATGCACCTATTCAGAAACACATTATAGATAATCACACAGATGAAACCTATTCCACTCTGCCGTTATACTGATACCCCCGTGTGCCATACAAAACCTAGCGCCGCCCGCCCCACACGCTGCTAATACATGTCCCTCCCTATAGTAAAAGAAAAAAAGGTGAGAGGGAGGTACAACTGACTGCCATACAGGCGCCATGCCAACAAGAATCGAATCTCTTACTCCGCCTCTTGCGTCGCCGTCTTAGCCTCACTGGCAGGCTGAGCCTCCTCTTGACGCTCCACAATGCTCTTCTCCTTTTCTTGGTCCTCAGCCACTTCCACAGTCGGCGGCACCTCACTAGCCTCAACTGCCGCACCTTGCTCCCGGGTTTCTGGATTTTGGCCCTCGACATCAGGGTGAGGAGGCGCAACACCATGTTCCTCGGCCTCATCGTGCGACTCAATTAGCTCATCGAAAACCTCGTTGCCTTCGTCATCAATAAGGCGCGTCCGCGTCTCATAGCGCGTCTTGAAGCTAACCTTGCCCTTGAGTGCTTCCACCTCTGCATCGTCAAGGACGCGGCCCTTTTCGTCGCGATACTCAACACGCTCTTCCTTCGCAATAATAGGCATGTTCTGAGGAGCGTCCTGGGGTGGGGCCGAAACTGCCGCTTCATCAACGACGCCTTCCTGCTTGACCACCTCCGGCTGCTGTTTTGGCTGTTCAGGCTGGACATTGAGAACGGGGGGTGCAGCCGGCGCTGATGACGGCACAGATGCTGATGCTAGAGGTTCACTCTGGGTGTATGCTTCGTACTGTAAACTGTCAGATTGAACTCATCATACCACGTCCAATTAGCTTACCGAAGCGAGGAAGTTGTTGCACTCCCAGTCCCAGCTGTTGAAAAGCTTGACGCTGTTGCATGCATCCTTAGTCCATGGGTTGCCGTATGCGAGCGGTGAGAAAATTGTGAAGACCATGATGGCAACCGCTAGGAAACCGACGGCTGCTGCTTGGCCAATAGCAGGATATTGCCTGAGTCCAAACACGCTGAACCGGTAGCTTACAAAATCAAAGATCTGACAAAGCGCAAGAATGGCAAAATACAAGGCCGGAAGGTAGTGGTGTAAGAACAATTGGCGCGCCATTAGGTAGAAAGGGAAGTAGTGGAACGCCCACCCTAGGATGCTCATGCCCACTTCATAGTCGAAACGCTTGAACACGACGTTGTTGTAGTCGCGGTAGCCACGCTGCCATCGGAGAATGGCAATGCCCTTGATGGCAACGTAGAGAGCAATCAGCGCTGTGGAGCTCCACCAGATGACAGGATTTCCAATAAGGTAGATTTGGCGGTGGTTTTTGCCCCAGAAGTTGATGCCTCGGCGGAGGATAGGCCATGAAGGAGGACGAGAATCCCAGGCGTGCGACTCCGTCAGACCGGCGTTCGTCTTCCACATGACCTTTTGCAACTCCCAGAACTTCCCAAAAAAGCCAGGGTTGCGGTAGTTGACCTTCTCCACTTCCCCGTCCACCATTAGTGGATGCACGTTGCCCTCAATGTACCATATGCTGTTGGGCAGGGTACCTTGCTTGGCACACGTAACCTCTTGTTGCTCGAAGCCCCACTCGGGAAGTTTGACCTTGTGGGAGAATAGTGCGCAACCAGTCATCACATGGATCAGCCTAAACTTGGACTGGATGGTACGAAGGCGCTTCTTAGCCTCAGCTCCATCCGACTTGCTCGGAATAATCTCAACGCGGAAGAGATCGTTCGCGTCGCCCTCAAAACCTTGGTAGCCATACGCCGAGACCTCATTCTGCCAATCTGCTTCGGTAACAGGCGGGCGAACATCGTGAGAGTGGAGACGTCGGTCGGTAGTGATGTGGTAGAGACGAATGACGGCGCCGTTTTCAATATGAAAGGGGCCTACGCCGTCCCAGGCTTTCGGGCTAGTCAAGTTAGGGCCAGTGTAGTCTTCTGGCATAATTGGCAGAGTCTGGTTTTCCAAGATCCAAATGTTGTTCTCGTCCTTGTGAGGATAGAGGGTGATCTGCTGTTGCTTGCTTCCGGTAGGGTACATGTGGCTGTGAGAATGAAGATACCCGCCCTGCGTGTTCCAATGGCGCAGGGAGACACGGCTTCCATACGCAACATCTGCCGGCACATCTTGCATGCCCTTGGAGTTCAAAGTTGCCTGGAACTCAGAAGACATGAACCCATCACCCTCGCCAGGATTAACAAGGCAGAGAAAATGAATTCCAAACATGGCCATGTAGAAGGAGACGGGAATCACAACCAAGCAAAATAGCCGTGCGAAGAAGTGCTTGAACCACAGCCTCGGTGTTACGTTCTTGTGGTCTCCAAGTAGAACCCATAGTTGGACAAGTGTCAAACTGCCGACCCAAGCGATGGTGAACAGGCCAACCCACTTGACACTGACAGTTGCACCAAGTCCAAGACCAGTAGCAGCCAGCCAGAACCACCACAATGGCTTGAAGGCCTTGGCGGGCCCTTGTTCGTGTTGGTTCATGAAGCAGGTCCATGAGAGCGCGGTAAGGGCAGTGAAGATGATGAGCGGGGAGTCGAGCAAAATGAGGCGGGACTGGGTGACGAGAGCGTTATCTTGAACAGGTCAGCATTAGGTGCAACAGCGGCTACAACTAGCGTCTTACCGAAAATGACGAGACCTGCACCCAACGCTGCTGTGGTGGTGCGACATCCAGCAGCCTTTAGGGTCAGAAACATGGTCGGAATGGTTAAGACACCGCAGATGGCGGGCAACAGGCGCATAGTGACATAGGGGACATTTGGCTCAAGATAGTCCTTGCCAATGTCCTTGAAGTCAAAGTTTCCGTCAAATCCGCCCAACCATCCAGCCAGGGTAATGAGGAGCTTTGCAAGCGGCGGGTGGACATCCATGAAGAACCTGCCCTTGATGTATTTCGAGGCAAATCCACCGAAGCTACAATGACCCTGTCAAACCCCATTCACAAAAGCCATATCAACAAGAATGACTTACTGGACCTCGTCAAAGACAACGCTGGTCGGCTGCTGGATCCTGAAGAGCCTTACAGCAACTGCAATGGCGATCAGTACGGCCAGCAACGACCAGTCGGAGCCCGGAAGGCTGAAGATGTCATTGTCCTTCACACCCTCGGAGGCGTAACTTCGAACCTTCTGCCCGGACTGCTGCTTTCTGCCGTTCCGCGATCGTGATCGGGACTTTGATCTACCCGAACGGCGCGATGAGGGCTTCTCGCCCAGGTAGGCATTGGATGCCGAAAGGCTCGCCATGGCGGCGGCGTACTAAGTAGGTGTTGCGTGGCCCGACTAAGGTGGGAGATGGTGATGAGGGTTGGGGGGAACCTTGCAGCGCTTCTGCTGTAGTGTAGGCAATGGGCACTCGGGCCTCTTAGTCGGAAAAGGAAGAGTTAATGAAAGTGAGAAGGAGGTCCCATCAATGTGAAGGGTGAAGGGTGGGGGCCGCAATTGTAGTTGCGGCGATACAAGCCAGGGGGAAAGAGGGTTCCCGCGAGGAGTAGTGCTGCGTACCAATTGACCCTTGTTGCAAGCTGTTCCTTACTACGCGGCCTTGCCGAACTGGGAAACGAAGAGCTGAATATGGATCGGGGTACTTGGTCGACTTGTATTCGCCATGTCATCTAGTAGATTCGAGAGAACAAGTCGTCCTAAAATTAGACCCTCGACTCGGTCCTGCACCGAGAGTTTTGACAGCCGTCGATGAGCCGAGACGCGTCTAGCATTTCACCGACTGCCTCAGCCTTGCCAGTGTCAATGTGGCTGGAGTGTGGCTAGAGTGAGGCTAAGATCCGGATTGGAACAACTAGATGATCCGGCCAGGAGCCTACCATGCCATCCTGGAACTTTGCGACGCTGCCGCATCGCGAACCTGCACCGCTGCTACTCGACCACCCGCAATATCCATACGCGTCGCGTGCAAATAGTGGCACGTGAGTAATCGCGATTTGTTCTTTTGCTGGCGCCGACCTACGTACCACGCGATTCGCCATTATTCTACCACGACCTCTCTTGCGACTCATCAAGATCGCTCGCAGCCAAGTTCCCTACCAACACATACCGCCATGGCCAACCCCAACGGTGATGCCGCTCCAGCCGGCGTCGTCGAGCTCGACGTGAAGCCCCCCTCGAACATGGTTATTCCCCCGCCCGGTGTACGCGAAGCCGTAGCAAAGACTGCTGATTTCATTTCCCGTCGAGGCGAACAACACCTTGTAGGAATGAAGCAACGTCTCACCGCCGACCCCTCCACGAAGACCAACTTTGGCTTCGTCTTGGAAGATGATCCGTACAACGCCTATTTCTTGTGGTATTTGCAGCAGCTGAGGGAGGGCCATGGGCGCTCCTCGGACAAAAACTCCAAGCAAGCCGTGGATAACAAGCCCAAGGGCCCCCCCGAACCGCCCAAGTTCCGCTTTTCGGCCCGTATGCCTAACATCAACGCCAAAGATCTGGAAGTGCTAAAACTTACTGCTCTGTACACGGCGCGCGTGGGTGAGAATTGGCTAAAGGATTTGCGCAACCGTGAGTTGGGCAATTATCAGTTTGACTTTCTCAGACCAAATCACAGCTATTTCCAGTTTTTCCGATCGCTCGTCGAACAATACAAGATCCTGCTTGAAGAAGAGGCGACGGTCGAGGCACGTATCCAGGAGCTACAGCACAACATCAAAAATCGGTTTCACGTGTTGGACCGCGCAAAGGGTCGCGCTGAGTATGTCAAATATGTGAATGCGCAAAAGGAGAAAGAAGAGAAGAAGGTAGAAGCCGAGAAGCAGGAGTATGCGACCATTGACTGGCATGACTTCAGCGTCATTGCGACAGTCATCTTTGATGAGGCTGATGATGCTGCGGATCTTCCCCCACCCGCTCAGCTGAATGATCTACAGTCCCAGTCTCTTGAACAAAAGGCCGCCGTTTCATTATCTACACGTCGTCTGGAGGAGGCTATGCCCGACGATGTCACCTACTACAATGTCACTCAGCAGCAGGTACCACCGCCTCCAATGCAACCAAATTACGCACCAACTGCACCACCCGTGCATTCGCCGTACGGTGCATCGCCATATGCGCCTCCTCCGATGCCCGATTACCGAACACCAGCGCAGATATCGCGCGAAGAGGAGCAGGCGCGGTTGGCCAAGGAACGCCAGGCAGAAAGCGAGCAGCGCGCACGCGCACAGGCTGCTGCCAGAGGAGCGCCTGGTCGCATCGTCACAGACTACGTCCCCCGCGTCGCCACAAAGAAGGCAAACGTACCAATGGCCGTGTGCCCTAACTGCAAGCAGCAAATTCCTTCCAACGAGATGGATGAGCACATTCGAAGTAAGCAGATTTCCGTACCTTTTACATGCTTAGGAATGTCGTATGCTAATGCTCTTTCGCAGTTGAATTGCTCGATCCGCGCTGGAAAGAACAACGTGACAAAGCCGAAGCTCGATACTCCACGACGATCAATACCGCCGACGTTGCAAACAATCTCAAGCGTTTCGCCAGTCAGCGTGAAGACATATATGACGGTGCCACTGGCCAATCAATATCTGCAGAAGAAGAGGCTCGGAGGAAGAAGGCTGCAATATCATATGATGGACAGCCAGATCCTGCAAAGGACGCTGCCCGCTTATCGCAGATGCAGAGCATGAACGTCCAGGAGCAGCTTCGAAGGATACAGGAAAAGCACCGCCAGTAGAGCGCATGTATTTGTAGGTCTTTCTTTTCCTTTCCCGGATACCACTGTCATTCTAGAAATCGATTCATTTGCATTGAGTGGCGTTTGGGAAGTACGGGCAGATAGACCCGGCCTGATTGGGTTCGAAGAGAGATTAAAATGGACTTTTGTGTAAAACAAGACCGGCCTATTGGCCTGGTCACCGATGTTGTAGCTGCGAATCTCTAATGAATACGTATGAACTCAAATTCAGTCACCGAAAATATTGATTTTCTTATGTATAGTTGCGTAGTGAAATCGGTCGAGTACAAGCGCGAGCGGGCTGTGGCGGAGCTGTGATGCGGCTCGGACTTTCGAAGCTTTCCTCCGACCTGTGTCAAAACCTATGACCTAACCAGCGACTTTTATCGTAAGCGCAACGCTCGACATCTGTGTACTGCCTCCCACACACACAAGAAATCATGTCATTAGCACAAGCAACCAAAGGCGATGTTGCCTATCAGGTGCGCTCTCTGGTACGTATTCGCGTCACTGTAGTTCTCCAAGCATCCCCGCGTTACCAGAACCACCGTGTGGCATTGCTGCCTTGTTTCTGTTCGTTTTACTGTGATCCTTGGAACTTCGGTACTATTCATCGCTCGAGTGCGACAAATGACTGCCTTGCGGTATGAAGATTACCTGCTGACTTGCTACGTGAATAGTATCGGTCGTTGTTACGCCAGAGCAACCAGTTCGCTGCCTATAACTTCCGCGAATACGCCAAACGGAGAACACGCGATGCCTTTCGGGACAACAAAGATGTGAAAGATGAGCGAGTCATACAAGAAATGGTACAAAAGGGCTTGAGTGAGCTACAAATGTTGAAGGTGAGTACACAATATTGAAGTTCAGCATGGTGTGTGGAGTGGGGAGACATGAAGGTATTCCTATGTAGAAGAGACGACACGCAAGGCAGTACGCAAGGCGACAAGTGGCATTGGAAGCGATAGGCTTTAGCGCGTAGACGATAATCAGAACAGAGGACAATACAGGGCGGAACCCACGCTGACACAAATCAACAGAGGCAAACAGTCATAAGCCAATTCTACCAGATCGATCGCCTAGTCGTTGAGGGTGGCAAGGAAGGCAAGCAAAAGGGAGATCGCAGCGATATCGTCAGAGTAAAAGACCAAGGGTGGGATTAAGCATAGTACGAGAGAAACGGGATGTTGACGATGAAAAGAGACGATCTTGTAACAACATTGCCCATATTGCACGAAAGGAAAGGCGATTGTGTGGCACCACGTTCGATTGAAAACGATCTTGCAAAGTCGAATGTATGTACTGTATTATATGGGGTTTGCCATTCGAGTCTCCCAAACGGAGTGATGGAATAACACCAAACCAACCTGTACATTTTAGCACCAATACTCTCAGCATGACAGATCACGTTTGCAAGCTCTCTCCCGCCCTAGAAGATGGTCTTACTTGGCAACCTATCGCAGCTGGATACAGTTGTCATGTTACTGCAGGAACAGGTTCCACGTGGATTTGCCGAGACTACCTTTGGAGAAACTTACATATATAGGGACATAAGACTCTCTCCCGTATATTTTATTGTATAACCTACATTTCTTATACTAACAGGAATTGATGTATGATACACTTCACTACCCAGCAGCCCAGGGTTGAAAGCCAACCAGGTTTGGTATAGTGGCGCACGGTTGCACCTTCCAGGTCGCAAACCGACGCGCCTCCCCTTCACGCATCGCGACTTCCCGTCGCATTGCGCCAACATCAATCCAACCTTCACCGCCTGTTTCTCGAGGCAGTCGCATATCACTATGGCTCCGGTACGTCATTTCTTTGCGTTATTGATAGAGATGCACATGCCCTCTGTTTTCGCGAGCCCGCATCCTTGCAGCATTTGAACGCGTGCGCAAGGCGCTCTTCTTGCGGCGCGCATCGCATACAGCATCATCATGCCTTCATTTCTAAACCGATACCATTTATTACGAGGCATGGGCCGAAAAAGGCAATCCGCGCTTCATCTTAGGCAGTCGTCAACAGATGATGACGAATGGGTTCCAAATGCAGGGTCGTCGACTGTACTGGCATATGATTGACGCACCCACTCATAAAACCAGACACACTCCTTTCCACTATGCAATGCAACAGATATGATGATTTCACCGGGTCGCAAGGCTAACATCACGTGACTAGTTCCGGAACAGAGACCGCTCCAACAGGTCGGGGCGTGGGCAGATAGAGCATAATGTCCTTGAAGGATTGCCCATTACCCAATATCGAGAAGCTGAAATTACTATTGAACCTCATTCTGCGGAAAACAAGCCCTTGGACAAAGATGCTTGGCCTGAATTACCAATGCCTCGGGATTCCCATATGCTCCCGGAACATTCTCAACAGCTCCTTCGAGCGGCTCGGTCTGGAAAGCTTTACAAACCCCCAGCGCCCCCAGAAGAAGACAATGAGATGAAAGATGAGGAAGAAGAGACTAAAGAAATTCGTACCGGATTCACCGTCAAGAAATACGTCAAGGTAGCACGCCATTTAGAAGGTCCAGAGCCAGAATACCTTGCCAAGAGAAGGAAGGGTCTCCCATCGCCATATGTCAGCACCCAAGTCGCACAGCCTGTGCTACGTGAGACAAAGGTAAAGAAGCTCGATGCAGAAGGCAATGTAGCTGTCTACAAGGTTCTTGTTCCAGAAGGGCAGTCGGTGGAGGGTGAGGTGCAGCCTACAGACGCTGCTATCGAAGTTGCACCAGCTACTGCTGCACCAGGAACGATCGTCGAGGGTATCGGTGTAGTGAATGCCGAAGGAATTGTTGTAGCCAACGATGTTGTGCAACAAACACCTCCCAGGAGACGGCCACCTCCTCCCAAGAAAGTCAAGCGTGGCGGTCCGGGTAGAGGCAAGAAGAAGGTTGTCTTTGCGGAAGGTGCGGCAGAGCAAGGGACCCCAGCATCGACTGCTGGTGGTGATGCACTCGAAGTGCCCGGTGTAAAACGAGAAGAGGGATCCGTAGCACCTTCAGATGGTGGAGATACGCCAATGGCTGATGCCGGAGGCCAAGACGATGAGGGCTCTGGTGAAGAGGGTTCTGAAGATGAGGATCATGACATGGAACGTACCTCAACGCCCGCAACTCCCCTGCGATCATCAGCCGCACCACCCAGTACATCTGCGATGGATATCTCAGATACTCCGGAAGCGGCCCCAAGTGAACCTGTCGTGGAAGCTTCTATAATTGTCCCAACAGAGCCTTCGGCAGAGACTTCTGTAATGCCTCTTGTCGAGGCTGACGTGGGGACTCCCATGGAAGTAACACCCTCGTTACCGACTGCCATTGAGCCATTACAAAGTGCCGGAGAGACCGAGACAGCAACTGTCAAAACTTCGACACCCGAGATCACCCAAGAAGCTCCAGGAAGTGGCAAGTCTAGCTCGCCAGACATGCCGTTATCTGCCATATCTCATAGCCGTCAAAACTCGCTCAATCATGTGTCAACTCCCGTGACTACCACCGAGATTGCCGTTCCCGAAGATACTCCGAATGAAGCCCCAGCTCCTCCAATAGAAGCGGATACCGCACCGGCGCCGACGGTCACGGCTGAACCTGAACCTGAACCTGCCCACGAGCCTGTACCCGCGCTTGCGCCTGGGTCTATACCAGAGCCTGTATCGGAGTCTGCACCAGAAGCTGTACCGGAGCCAGTACAAGAGCCCGAAGCGAAAATTGAGACCCTACCAGAGCCGCAGCCGAAGTCGGAACCAGCTCCAGAACCTGCGCCCGAGTCAATACAATCCCTACCTGATGCTCCTTCTCCACAGTCTTCCGAACCAGATCTCATGGGAAGTCTTGAAGAACAGCTTAAAAAAGACAACGATGATATGAACAAGTCACAAGGTGGCGAGAGTTGACATTTTTGTCTCCAGTATTACCCGCGTTCGGCTCAGCACGCGTCCATGGGCTTGGCTGCGAATTGAAGAAGACATCTGATTATGACGGTGTCATGAGTTGCCGCATTAGGTACATAATCAGGATACTCTCAGCGGCAGGTTACGCATATACCTGAGTCTTTCTAGATGGGCTAGCCAGACAACTGGAGATTGTACCTCTTGCTTAATCCTTCTTCCATCATATGGTATCTTTGCTCGTTGGATATGCAGATTCTTTTCAGGTGTTATGGGTCTTGTTGAACTGAAGTTTTGTGCACTGTTGTATTAATACGAACGAATGATAAAGAAATTCATCATGTCATTTAATATGCCTTTGATACTTTGCTATACATCACTGCGGTTGTTGTCACAACTATTGAACCTTTGGGGTTATCTACTTCAATCAGAGATGTGCATATCTGATAAGAAGGTTATATCTCCTATCACCTCATTACGTCATTTCCAGCTTTACCCGACGGGAACCCCTCACACCAGACTTGTTAATTCCGCATTCATACCATTTACTAACGCGATAAAGGCAGGTCCATTAACGAACCATCTACCGTTTCGTATAATATATATTTGTCCGCGAACGTGCAGAACACATAGGTACAACTATTCCTACGAACAATCCTTTCATACAAACAATTATGCCTTCAATAACTGAGACTGTAAAAGCACATCAACCAGATCTGGGTCCATACGAAGAACTCTGTAGGCACCATCTCTTCCGCCCAATAGAGATATCACTAATAGCGTATCAGACAAATGGTTTCACACTCACCCAGAGCTTTCATTCCAAGAAAAGACTACTGCAGATGCGATTGTTAAACACCTCGAGACCTTCAAAGTGTTCACCATTCATTCTTCCATTGGCGGCCATGGAATCGCTGCCAGTTTTTCAAATGGTCCAGGGAAAACCATCCTTTTGCGTGCTGATACCGATGCTCTCCCGGTTGAAGAGAAGACAGGGCTGCAGTACGCTAGTACAGCGCGCATGAAAGATCTTGATGGTGTTGAGAAGCCGGTCATGCATGCCTGTGGGCACGACATGCACATTACTTCGTTGCTCGCAGCTGCAGAGTGCTTGGTCAGATGCAAGGACGAGTGGAGTGGTGAGTTGATATTAGTGTTCCAGCCCGCCGAAGAGAGAGCAGGCGGAGCCCAGAATATGGTGTAAGTGTAGAGGGACTCCTACAGAATTTCACAAGGATTCTGATGAAGTCCAGTGATGACGGCCTATACAAAAAGGTCAAAGAACCAGACGTCGTAGTCGGAGCACACGTCATGCCTGAAAGAGCTGGAGTAATTGGCACAAAACGTGGTCTCATCGCCAGCTCAGCAGACAGATTTCAGTGCGTAGATAGTTTTCTACCACCTTTCCTAAGCTGACAATGTCATAGACTCCGCATCCCAGGTCGTCAAGCCCACGCCTCAACCCCCCATCGCAGTATCGATCCCATCTTACAAGCAGCATCCACGATCATGCGTCTCCAATCAATTGTGTCGCGCGAGGTTGACCCCCTGGACTTCGCCGTTGTAACCGTCTCGGCCTTCCACGCCGGCGACGCCGAAAACATCATTCCCTCGGAAGCCAACCTGAAAATCGACGTGCGCGCAGGTCTGCCCCAGACTCGCGAACGCGTTCTAGCAAGCGTAAAACGCATAATAGCTGCTGAAGCAGCTGCTTCCAACAATCCCTCTGAGCCCACACTAACGCCGACAACACAATTTCCCCTGTTGTTCAACGACGACGGTATCACCGATGCGCTGGAGCAGTCATTTTCCCAGCACTTCAAGCCCGGTAAAACGAGTTATCAGAACGACATTGCGAGGCTTCAAGGAAGCGAGGACTTTGGTATTTTGGCTACGGCGATTGGGAAACCGAGCTGCTTTTTCCTGTATGGAGGAATAGATCCCAAGGTATGGGACAAGGCGGAGGTAGAGGACAGGATGAGTGAAGATATCCCTGGAAACCATAGCCCGTTTTTTGCACCGGTCGTTCAGCCTACTCTTACTGTTGGCATGGAAGGGTATGTTGTTGCGGCATTGACGTTTTTGAGAAAGGGACAGTAGGTGAGAAGCTTTAAAAACATCAGTGATTTTATGATTGGTGGCGGTTGTTGATTCATCGGAAGATTTTTTGGTAAATCATGTGAAAGAATATGTGCTTGTCGAAGTTCTCGGATAAGCCTCTGCAAATGAAAGCATTTCGGTTTGGTCACGAAGTCACCGATAGCATAGAAACGGCTAAATTACGTTACTGAGAGCATCGGATTCTTAGTAACAAGAAAGCCACTGTAGATATGGGCATCGTGCCAGAGCCAGTTAGATATATTGAAGGCAGGGGAGGAGCGTTGTCATAACCTAATGAGAATTGAAGCAGCAGACTGCTGCCCCGCCCTTTCCCCACTCACATGCTCCCCAATGTTTCCCAAGTGGAATTCTATCCACATTTGACAACTAGGTTGCAGCGCCACTGTCTGGGTAGACATACTCCTCTTTATACGATATTATCAAATTGCTTCGTACTTATGACGTATAAACGACGATGCTGGGTAAACCTATTAAATCACTTAAAATCAACGCCCTGGGGACACCATCATCCTGCCAAGAAGTCTACCATTCACAATCACATTACTCATGACCATTTCTCACCAGGAAGACACCAAAAATGCTCCCGAAGAGCACCAGTTGCACCGCACCGGCTCATGGCTGCCATCCGACCACCGCGTGCACAAAAAATGGCTGAGAGACATCATAGAAAGGGTAGAAAACGACCCAAAAGATCTCCATCCAGTCATCCAAGAATTCAAAGATTTGATTGAGAAAAATACGCGTATCTACATCCTCGTCAACTCCATGTTCGAAGAGATACCCGCCAAGAAGCCGTACAAGCGTGACCCGGGCGGCCACAAGCAAGTCCGCGATTACCACCATATGCTGGCGCTTTTCAATCACATTCTTACTGCTGCGCCTGAATGGAGTGATCATGAGTATTCGGTTGGTGTGGTTGGGACGCCATTTAATGCTATTCTGGACTGGCCTATGGTGAGTACAACTGATGCATCTGGATATCTGAGTTGAACTAACATATCCGTTTCCTACTGGTAGGGCACACCATCCGGCTTCGCCTTCTTCCTCGACCCAGAAGTCAATAAGATGATCAAAAAAGTCCTAAACGCATGGGCCGAATTTCTCGCTTCACCAGATTCAGCGTACGTACTAGATAACAACCAGATCGGCTGGTTCAGCGACCACGGCACACACGATCTCGAACTGACCGCGAACGTTGGCCGCTCCTCCCACAAATTCGACGAGCTCTTCCAATGCGATCCGAAAAAGAAGCACCGCGGCTACACCTCCTGGGACCACTTCTTCACCCGCCTCTTCCACTCCGACAAGCGTCCCGTGGCCAGCCCCGATGACAACACCGTCATCGCAAATGCCTGCGAGTCAAAACCATACAAAGTGAGCCGCAACGTCGCACAGCGCGACCGATTTTGGATAAAAGGCCAACCCTACTCGCTCATGGACATGCTCGCCATGGACCCCCTGCACGAATACTTCATCGGCGGAACGATATACCAGGCCTTCCTTTCCGCGCTGAGTTACCACCGGTGGCACGCGCCCGTCAGCGGGACGATCAAGAAAGCGTATCTAGTCGAAGGTACCTACTTTTCCGAACCACTATTCGAGGGTCTCGGTGATCCTTCCACCAAGGGAGGTATTAGTGAAGAAGGTGAGAAAACAGGACAGGGATATCTTACTGCGACGGCTACGCGAGCGATCATTTTTATTGAGGCGGATAATTCCGATCTAGGGCTTGTGTGCTTTATGGGAATTGGTATGACGGAAGTGTCTACATGCGAGATCACAGCCAAAGAAGGGGAGCATGTTGAGAAGGGGGATCAGATTGGCATGTTTCATTATGGGGGGAGTACGCATTGCTTGATTTTCAAGAAGGGAGTGGAGTTGGAGGGGTTTCCTGATACGCAGGATGTGAAACATAACGTTCCTGTCAGGTCGAAACTTGCTGTTATTAAGAAGACTGGCTGATTGGGGTGGGAACTAGGAGGTATTGGAGTAAAGCTTCGTATCGCTGGTGCTATGAGACTTTGCTGATTGAATCATAGACCTACAAACCTTTTCTAAATGCATCTTCATATCGGGGGCCACATATAGTTTCTATAACAACACGAGTATTTTTTTGTGTGAATAAGAGCCGAGGGATATACATGAGTCTATGCTGATATGCACATGGCTTGTAACGTGAACGCTTATTCGGAAAAGTATATCAACAAGGAATTCGCAATCCATCACTTTGGCTTGGAACAGATGCTTACAATAGTACACCATACACGCGGTGTTCTCACACTTCATGGGAGCCGGCCAGGTGGCATAGCATGTCTGAGTATAAAGTAGGGCGTGAAATCACTGTAGGACAAACAGTGAGTATGAATTTGTCCCTTCAACCTCCCCATTGAAGCAAATATTGAAAGCTAACCCTATTTAGTCTGTGTTGAGGAGATGCTTAATGAAACGCTCTTGTATGCTGCAGTGATTTTACTAGATGCAATCGCAATGGTGTCTGCAGCACCTAGTTGATAATGATAACCAGACTCCGCTCACCGTTCACGGTGTTCTCATCTGAGTCGGCCTTCTCACCTCACACCTATTGTTCACAACACAATAGAGACAATAACAACACCACAACGGTGCTCAGTTGACTCACTTTAAGAAATTTAGGAAATTATCTTCACCCTCACTCCTAGCCTCCTTCATCATGAAAATTTTATGGCCACAGTATTTTCGAGGATACAGAGTCCTCAACACTAGAAATATTCTCAACTTCATCAACCTATCTGCTACCAATCTTCATACAACCTTGAACTTGGCTACACAGTTGATTTGACCATCTACTTTGACAAGCTGTATACTTCAACAAAAATCCTCAATCATGTCGGACACCAACCCCTTCCCACCATTTCCACCAGCAGTCACACTTGAAGAAGTGCAAGCAGCAACAACATCCTACCCAGCCACCTACTTCAACTCGCACATCCTCAAACTAAGCAGCTACCTTATTGACATCACCAATACGAGCACTCTTTTCGGAAAACCCGCCAACAACCCCTACACCCCTAGCCTCAACACTCTCTATCTCCGCCTGCAAAACGGCCAACTCCCTCCCAGTCGCCTCCCAGCAAGCTTCCAGACCCCCCAACATACTCAATCTCCAATCCACCTTCGCTCAGACAAACCAGCTGCTGAACGTCCCTTGGCCGACTTCGAAGATCTCTACTACGCCACTCTCTCTTTGATGCAAGAACTTCACCACCTCCTCACCATCCGCCTCCAGAGTGGCTTCAATACACTCTCTGACCTCGCTTGCGCGGGCGGTCCTACCTTGTCTTCCTTACAAAAAAGTCTAACGGCGTATTGGTCCTTCTTCAACGACGCGGCGTGCGCCAAGGCGCTCGACGATGCGGTGCGGGAAGCTCGCGTCAGGGCTATCCGGGAGGAGATTGTGAGACAAGTGGAAGTTGATGAGTTGGATATACAGGATGCGAGGTGCCAGTTGGCAGGGTTGTATGGGGAGGATGTATATGCGGGGGTTGAGGGGATGTGGTTTGTGAGGGATTGGGCGCCGGCGATGGTAGCGGTGTATTTGGAGGGGAGGTGGAGGGGGTTGTTGGATGCAGAGAAGGCAGAGAACGAGAGGATGATGGCGATGGTTAAGAGTGAGAAAGAGGGATCAGAAGGACAAGTTGCAACGGAGTGCCAGGAGGCTCAGAGTGAGATGGACGTGGATACGAACCAGTTCCCCGAGCAGAACCACGTCGAGCGGCTATCTCACGACACGAACCTACGCACCGAACCGCAGATATCTCAGAACCAACCCTTCGCTCACCACACCCCTGTTCATCACGCACAACTCCACCAAGTCGCACTACACCACCAACCCCTTTCCGCAGCCATCCACACAGAGCACGGTCCCATATACCCCGCCGACTTCGATATAATGCTCGAGTGGCAAGTCCGCAACCAGCGCGTGGCACAATACACAAACTACCTGCGTGCCCGCGCGAGCCAGGATGCGCAGCAGGCTATCCAGGGGACAAGGAATACTACAGGGGGTGGGAACAATGTTTGGAATAGGGATTTGAGTTCAGAAATGGATCGAAGAAATGAGTAATTTAGATTTTGCGATTTGAGAGGTTAAACAAGGGTGGGGAAGGAAATGGTTGAGGAAGAGGAAACAAAAGTGGATTATCGGCGTTTTGTAGGATAGGGGGATGGGGAAATGGGAGGTCTGGGGGATTATTAGGCAGGTAGTTGGTAAGATTCCAACTGCGTACTGGAGCAGTTGATTTCCTTTTCCTATACGCATGATCGTGCTTGAATCTTTTGTACGATCTGAATATCAAATGGCGTCACTCTCTTTTGAAGTTGATTATCAAAGCTGACATTGGGGTGAAAACTATCAATTGGACTAGTGTGTAGTCGCAAGAAATCTAAGTATCCTATTACAATAGACCTTCTCATTGTCTCAGAAAAGCCCAAAAACATGAAGAATCAAAAAGAAGTAATCAAACTACACCATTAAAACCTACATTACGACGATACAGGAGCAGTAGACTGACTCCTCACCTCAAGTTTCTTCGGCTTTTTCTTCGGCTTCGGCTCCTCACTTGCCTTCTTCTTCTCCGCCTCCTTCCCTCCACCTTCCTTCACTTCTTCTTTCTTCCCCTTCACCCCAGACTCTGCCTTGTCATCTTCTTCATCAACCTCCTCCACCATAAAATTACTCGCCATACACCTCCCCCCATTCTGCTTGCCCACATCCATCGGGCACGCACTAAACACCACGACAACATCCCGCTCAGCCCTGAACCGAACATAGCACCTCTTCTTCCCCTGCGGCTCCTCAACACTAAGCGTGACGCCCTTTGCGCCCGCGCCATCATTGTGAATATCGCCCTCAGCATGCAGCGGTGCATTCATGAAGAGGTGGAGGGGTGTCGGCGCAATATTCACCGTGATATCAGCGCCCACTGCTTTTGTGCCTTTGAGGCCAGACGTCTCATTTATTTCTTTGAGGGCGAGGACGAGGTTCTCAGCGCAGCTGCCGTGTTCGGCGGGCTTGTCAATGCCCAGCGCGGCGTACTGGTTAGCGTCGCAGGCGGCAGTTAGGGTGTCGTGGGCGCCGGGGGAGGTGTCTTCGATGAGAGTTAGGATGGGGTTGCGGAGGTTGGTCAGGAGCTCGTCGTTGACTTCTGGAACGAGTTTGTGCGAGGCGGTGCGGGTGTGGGGGAGGGAGAGGTATTCCATGGGAGGTTGGGATAAGTTGGAGGGGTGCATGGAGGTGTAGGCTGAGTAGGCGGCGTAGACGGAGGATGCGTAGCCTGAGCCGGTGGCAGCTATAGAAAATTAGTATGTTTTTGTGATATTTTTCAGCCCTGATAACATACCAGCCACTGTTCCCGCGCCCACAGGTGTCTTGGAAAAGTCGTACAGTTGCTCTGCATAGCTCTTATTTGGATCCCGGTAGTGACTTGACTTGAATGCACTTATGACAGACTTGGAGTCTGGGACTGCTACGTTGGGCACGTAGCTTGAGAAACTCTTGCCTGTGGGTAGATATGAAGACCATTTCTTAGTATTCTCCTCGTTTTGTTTCTTCACTTGCTCAGCACTGGGCTTTTGTTCCGCCTCTTGCTTGTTCGCTGCACCTTTGTTGCGATAGGGGATAGAAGGGAGGTAAGACGCCCAAGTGCGCTTAGCGGGTTGCTTGGATGGTGACTCGGTCGATTCTGTCGTCTTCTCGTTCTCGGGAGTATCTGGCGCTTTTTCGGGTGGAGTTTGAGTGTCTTGACCTTTCCCATTGGCGGTATCCTCATTTAGCTGTGTCACCTTCTTGCCGTCCTTACTCTTTTTCTTCTCCTCGCCTTCGCCCTCTTCACTCTCCTTCTTCTCACTTTCGACCCCTTCACTCTCATTTTTGACCTTGTTATCTTCGTTTGCTGTCTCTACCTCCTGCTTTTTGCTCTCTCCAACCACCTTCTTTATCTCTTCTGCCTCCTTTTTAACTTCCTCCTCATTCAACTCCTCACCTTCCCCCTCTTCAGGCGGCGGGCCCAGCGTAAAAGCCCACATACTGACTACCTGCTTCCCATACGTGTTAATAACCTTGATCGTCCTTCCTCTGGGCACAAAAGTCGCAGCCCCATGGCGCGCAGGTATAGTCTGAAGTTCACCCGACATATCTTCGGCCGTCGTAAAATCGTGTCCGTTTACACTTTCTCTCTTCTTTTTCCGCTGCTTTTCCACCATCGACAACACAGAAACAAGCGCGATTCCAGCGAGCGCGCGACGAGAAGGGACCTGGGGCGCCGTCTTGACAATTTGTATGAGCTGGCAGCAAGCCAGCAAGAAACAGGATGCAGATGGAGTGGTAAAGGCCGTTAGTGTATCTTGCTTTGCGTTGTGTAGGTTTCAACGGCATATAGTTGACGGACTAGAGCCTCTATCATTTCATTGGAACAGTGACGTATGTGGTCGCACATCATCATGACTGGAGCCTACGATTCGCTGTCGAGCGGCTTAACAAACATGGAACCCCTTGTATCACATCCCGCGCACTCGTCTTGTTAGAATGCAGATGACGCAGTAGACGAACCCTGTTTTTTTGGTCAGGATGCAGACCACTGAAGCCCGCTCAGAAACGCTCTGAGAAAGGTGACTATGTAAGCACGCGCTAGTACAAGTTAGGACAGATCGAGCCTAGACACTAGATTAATCAGATCAGCGCTATTTAGCAGGACCATCTCCCTAGCCGGTTATACGGTAGAAAGAACTATATACCGGACGCTAGATCTGTACATTTTGTAGCAAATATCTGGGTTGAATCCTTGATCGAGATCCTGATTCAATGTATCTGGTGCAATAGTACTCTCAGCACAGCTCTTCACAGCGTGATTAATACTTTACAGCTCTTTCGCTTACCTCAGCAATGAATCTTCAAACACTAAGTGTGATGTTCTGACAAGCCCTGCATCAAGTTGAAGTAACCTAGATCGGCTCAGAAGGAAATGCGTCCGAACATGGCACGGGTGTACCGTACAGGACCAAAGATTTAGACTTTCTACTATTGAGGAAGTATTTTGACATATTAAAGGAAAATAACTTCTGAAGAAGAAGATCACTGTGAATGTACGCAGTAGCTGAAATTTGAGAGTGGGGAGTGAAGCTTTGATAGCGGAGACAAAATTGGTACCTGATAACTCAGTTGATTTCTTCTATACCTAATAAGTCTCCTCTCTCTATAGCACAAGTCCTTGTTCTTTACAAAATTTTGAATCGCACCCAAGAAAGATAACAAGTATAGACAGGGTGTTAGTTGGGTTTCTTGCCAGATCTCAGGCTACACTACACAGGTGGCTACACTACTGCTTGCGGAGCCGAATTCGGGTAAAGTTGGATGGCATTCTATTGCTGCGATTGCTGGCCCTAACGTTCACTGTGGATCACAGATGTAAGTTTAACGGTATTTTTTTCTCGAAATAGTCAAGTAAGAGGTGTGCTGACTATGACAAAATATAGATTTTCTACCTTCTTATCGTCCCTAGTGAGCTCAGTGCTTTATCGTCTAGCCTGACTGCAGACCAAATGGTCTTAACACGGTGTTTTCCTGTTCTTCCTAGATTTCCACAGAAAGCTGTTTATAGGTGAACTAGCCATTCAGCCCATATATATGGCTTTGACGTTTCTATTTGCACAACCAGGCTATGTCACGTGGTTGAGGTTGGGTAGTGAAACAGTCACATTTGCCGATAGTATCTCTTGAACAAATCGCAATTATCGTACGGTTCTCCGTTCTTCCGTATCAAGTGGCATGCTTGGATGCGGTGCATTGCAGATAACTATGCATTCAACGAACATAATTGGACGCCACAGAAAGGAAGATCATGGTGTGTTTCACTACGCGCCCGCTATCCACATCAGGCTGTGCTGTGCAACCCCGCGTTGAACGCTTATATCTTGAGCGTGCAATGAGGTTCGTCGCATCTGCAAACGGCTTCAACCACTCAACAATTGTGATAGCAGTGAAGATGAGCGAAACGTCCATGCGGTGTTCGTTTGAGGAGTACGTCTGTTAACGCAACCCAATGCGACTAGTTTCCTAATATCAGATTCCTAGCAGTATAATACAATCCGAGGTTTTCATATTCAATATCGGCAAAGACAACGGCAGAAAAAGTTTTCCAGTGCATTCCAAAGTCGTCGCCGCAACATCTCCATATTTTCGGGCGCTCGTGAACAACGGCATGGCAGAGTCGTGCACGAAGACAGTTGAGTACCCCGACGTTGAACCTGAAGACTTTGCCCGCTTTATCGAGTACGCATATCGCAATGACTATCGTGTCCCTACATGGGTGCATGACAAAACGCATGTGAAAGATGAGGCGTTGCCTGTCCGAAAACCTACAGTAATCGAAGAACCAAAACAGAGAGCAACATCCCTGTTTGGCCAGCCTGCTCCACAAGCCGGGTTCGGTCAGCCTTCTTCAACATCCCTCTTTAGCCAACCTGCTCCACAAGCCGGGTTCGGTCAGCCTTCTTCAACATCCCTCTTTGGCCAGTCTTCTTCAAAACCCCTGTTTGGTCAAACTTTACCAGAAGACAAGAAAAAGCCCAGATTTGAAGGCGTAGATTCTGTACGCGCTGGTTTTGACAAGCGCAGTTACCTCGCCGCAGTGGAACCCAAGACAGTCATGCTCGTGGCTTTTGAGCCCAAGTACAACCTCGCGCCTGATCAGGATTTCACATCAGTGTTCCTAGCACACGCACGGCTATACACGTTTGCTTGTATGCGTGGAGTCGACCCGCTCAAACGCTTGACACTACACAAGCTCCACCGAACACTACTCAACTTCCAACTTTATGAGCGACGCGCAAGCGATGTTGTTGAACTCGCAAGATATGCATATACTCAGGGCAAGGACAGAGAAGACGACGGCACAAAAGACGAATTGAGGCAGCTAGTGCTCGAGTACGTTGTACGCGAAGTGACGATTTTCGGAAAGCATCCAGCCTTTCTGCTCCTGCTGGAAGAAGGCGGAGAATTTGTCGTCGACTTTTGGAGTCTGGCGTACAAAGAGGGGAATTGGACATGAAGCCAGCAGCGGGCAAATTCACCCCAACAACCTCAGGTCGTCACGACCGCGACAAGGCGCAAGAAGTAATTGTCCAAAAGACCCCAGCTCCTCGACGGACTTGTCATGTGACCAATCCACTGACATGTCGACATAAGAAATCAACTCCTGCTCTTGACACTGCATACTCTCACCCTGACACAGCGCTTTGTTTTCTTCTTGATTCCATCTCCCCAGATCCTTTGTCAGCGGCATACCAGCCAAAACATGGACTTGACTCGCGAGCCCGCCACATGTGAAAACACTCCATGAGCATCGCGTAAATACAGCCATGAATAAGGTGCGTCGTAGCGACTCAGTGAAAACCCAACGCGAGCGCTCATCCGCAAAAAATGGCATATCATAACACAAGCGATGAAAAAGACTTGTAGCCCATCGTTCAAGCAGTACATTATGTTTGACAGCCTGCTCTTGCGCACCCAAAATGGGATCAAATAGACGTATGATCTGATAAATGATGAGCGCTTGTACAGCCGCCAGATGCTGCATCAACGACCAAGTTGGCGCCTCTTTCACCAAGGCAGCGATCTTGGCATTGATACTATTGACTAGGATGTTACCAGTGTAGCTTGCGTTCTGAGCCATGTAGAGGGCAGATATCGCAACGCAATCTTGATATGCCACGGGCTGATCGTGATCGGCAAACAGATTGCGATGCAAGAAATGCGTTGTACCCGAGCATGCCATGCTTGTGACCAGCGAGCACAGCCCTTCGATGACGAAGGTACTCTGCCGCTCGTTGAGCAGCACAGGTACGACTACAGTTGGTAGCAAGGTCCTGCGTAGCGGCGGACGCGCCGTCAGCGGATTGTCATGTCCCATCCACACCTCTGGACTCGACGACAACGACGAGCCCTCGTCGGATTCGCTCGACTCGCCGTCGCGCCTTAATACTATCCACGGATCGCGAGCTGCATGGCCAAGTTCCTCACTGTGGTTGACACGGGGGCTACCAAAGTTGCAGTCCGGCTCCACGCTTGTGGCCGCATTAGCTGCAGCGGAAGCGGAAGCGATAGTTGCAGGCTGGCTGGTGTCGCGTGGTGGTGGCGTGTCAGTGTGTCTGATAACAATCTCAGTGTCGCGGACCGAAACAGGCGTTTTACGTGGATTGGGATATGTGCAGTCGAGGCCCTTGACAAAACAGCGTTTGCAAAAGGGGTAGCCCAGGTCGCAGCGTCGCTTGGCCTTTACGCAAGCCGTGCAACTCTTTTTACGTGTTGAGGAAATGTAGCCTAGCATTTAGGTTTAGAGTGGAGTGCGCACGTTCGGGGCGGGTGCGGAGATTGTGCTTTTGCGCGGGAGCGATGGGTGGTCGATGTGCAAAGGAAATATCATGGGAAGGGCAAAAGCAAACAGCATGTCGATCCTCCGTGGTGTTTTGCTAATAAGTGGTGGTAGTGAGGGCGCAAGGCATCCCAGCCTTAGTCAGCTGGAGGGAGAGTTGGTGAGTCCATCCTGTAGGATGGGACGAATGCTGAATAATCGGGTAACGTGACTTTCTCCCCGTACCGACATACTACTTGTGGTGTAAGAAGGAAAGCCCATGGTTCCTTCCTCGAGCACGTGGGCGGGCAAGGCTCTAGATAACTTCTTTGACAAATGACCGAATGACCGCAGTGTGTCCTCCCAAACCCCTCAACCGTTAGTCAGCGCCTCGGAGTATCTTAACTTGGCTTGGCTCTGACCTTGTCTGTTAGGCCCGACGATGCCGTCTCCATGTAGTAAAACAATTAGTCGCAGACACTCGCGACGCCGCCAAGTGTGAGCGACACACCGAGGGCGCGAGAACCCACCTGCTGAATTTAGCCTCTGGGCCCGTAAATCCGCCTGATGCGGTCTAGACCGAGCGTCAGTAGCCTTCTCGGCCAAGCTCGCGCTCAAGGGCGCCTTAATTTACCGTCCAACCAACCGCTCTATGCCCCCTCACGCACACACCACACCACCACCACCATGTCCGACTTGAGATGCAAAGATGAGACAGATAGAGCGGGGAAACGGGCGCGCCGGGAACCACAGTCGGGGTGCGGCAATCATACAAACGCAAACAGTGGCTACGCGAGCACCGGAGCGTCGCCAGAGCTGGCGCGACGCCTCGTCTTGGTGTCGTCCCATTGGTCTTGTGATTGGATGCTGATGTCATTCACGCCTGGCCCGTGCCCGACTTTCACATGAAAGAAGGGCGTGTTGCAGCTTTTGCATTGGCACGCACGCAACACGGACAACGGCCCCACGCACGCATATGCAAAGTCCCACGGTGCGCTTTACTTGCCTTAGAAGCTTGCGTAACCAGGAAACAAGTCGTCAAGTTCCGCTCAAACCTCAACCCACTTGCCCCATCGACCAAGTAAAAGGAGCAGGCCAAAAAACCACCGTCGTCATCCCTCGCTATTGTTTCTATCTCCCGACACGGAAAAAATAATTCAACCTTGTCGTTACTTTGTCTCGGCCTGAGCGACCGACGGCACTTGCCTTGTCCGACTACTGTGCTGTGCTGTGGTATCCAACTGATATTCATTGCCGCTACCCGCTCTCCTCAGCTGGGCTATCCCATCATCGTCCACCCACCCCCTCACCCACTCACCTGACGTTCTCGACTCCGCTCTCCAAACACCACATCCCACTTCACACTGCCACACATTACTACTACACCATACTGCTCGCGTATTCAGCCACACCATCTCCTTCAGCAATGGACGGCATAGAAGCCATGGGTGCACGACGTGCCATGTCGCTCATGTTCACCGTCCCCGAACGCTTCATCAGCTTTGCCCACATGGACCAAAAGACCTTTTTCGAATTATCAGACTGGATCCTGGCCAATGTCGCGTCGCAAATCACACCGGAAATTAGCGTCGAGGAGTCGCTCTTTGTCTTCTTGGACATTGTCGCGCAGGGAAACAGCTTCAGCGAAGTGGCGTATGGATGGGATCATGACGTCGAGCTGACCCAAGGGTACGTTGCATACCTTGCTTTGCTCTACCATCGTCCATCCTTACTGACTGTCTGCTTATGTAGTATCTTCCTAAACGTCCTCAATGCCCTGACCGTGCTGCGCGAACGCCGAGAAATTGCCGATTCGTGCCCGCCCTTCACCCAGACCCGTAAGCGATGGGAAGTCGCCCGACGATGGAACCAGAAGCGATCACGACCAAACCCCAGTGGTGTAGTCAGGATAGGCTACGATGAAATGTGCCGGGACGGCCTCGAGGTCGACCAGGAGTGCTTGAAAGAGGCACTGGTTGCACTCAACAACTTCATCCACGAAAACGCCGACTATGACGAATCATGAACACCATCCTCTTTTTTTGTTATTCTTGTCTTGTTTCTTTTGTTTCCTGCATTTCGTCTGGTGTTGGTTTGGCTTTCGGGTAACGACTTGGGCAGCGCATAGCGTCGGATGGAAAGGTTCAACCCGGTGTTCAGATGAACTACGTTTTTCTTTTCCTTTGTTGTCTCCATTCATATGTACACATATGTACACTCTTCTCTTTCGTAGGTCAGGGAACCACGATCGCTGTCGGCTTGGGTGCTGCTGCAGTCCAAATTGAATCTTTACTCCCACACACATCCCCCTCTTGAAAATATCTCATCCACCTCTTCTCTAGTGCACATCTCTACCCCAACGCCACGGCACCCACGGTCCCCTTGGCCAACACCCCTAACCTCCCCTTCTTAATCCCCAAACTCTGTTCAATCCTCTCATCCGGCTCCCCCTTCTCCCTCCTCATCAAAGCCAACGTAATCACCCCAGCATCCACATACCGCTTCCCCTGGAATCCCCTCCTCCCCACCTCTCTCAGCTCCTCCTCCGCCTCTTCAGCAATCTGCTGTCGTGATTCAAGTACACGTAGCACAGGATTATTCCTTGCATCAGGAAACGCCGACTGTGGCGCATCTTGCATCATTGTGTCCGACGGAAGATTAGGCGAGGCGTTGCGGCGGGGATCGAATTGCGAGGTTGACGACAACGAAAAGTGCGGATTCGGTTGTACAGCGCCGAGACTGTTCAGGCGGGAGGCAAAGGCTGGGTCGCGGGCATCTTGTAGTACAGCTATTGGATGGGGAGCGAGAGAGTTAGTTATGTGACTTTCCATGGAGGGGGCCCAGGAATTGCTTTTGTATCAATGGAGGAATTGCCCTACCTTCTGTTTTCTCGCTCGTAGCCTGTGGCGGAGGATGTACACGGGGTCCAGTCGCAGCATTCTGTGCGGGAGCCGATGATGCTGTAGTTGTAGTGTTTGTCGGCGGTCTTGAGGGGTATTTACGAGCTGCGGAGCCGGCAGCGGCTTTTGCGCCTTTAGATGCTGAAGCGCCCATTGTGTTTATCTTTGGGGCCCTGTGGGTTGTTTTTTGTTGGGAATGAGGGGTAAATTGCGTGTGGGGATGTTCGCGGCTATTTGATAGGAGTGAGAGAGACAGGTAAGGGTGGTGATAACGACGGAGCGGGCGCGATAACAGGCATGCATTTGTTGGGGGCAACTTTGTCGAAGCTCGGGCCAAGCGTCATGACGATGATGTATGAGAGATTCCATGTGCCAAGTCTGGGGTGTCGAATCAAAGGGGCGTTCACTGATTGGATAACTGGTTGCATAAATAAAATCAAAGAGGTTATAAATGCGAGATATATTTGGAAATGAATTTGCTGACCTGGAAACTTTTTACATGATGCTATTCTACCGCGCGAAAGATGATTCAGATCTATGGTAGTTGGCCATCCGCACGGTAATGTCCTGCAACTAGGAACGCCAATTCTAGAGCCTGCTTCTCGTTCAACCTAGGATCGCAGTAGGTTGTGTAGTTCAAGCTCAGATCCTCGTCTACAAGACCCTCACTTCCTCCCGTGCACTCCGTAACCGCATCACCAGTAAGCTCAAGATGCATGCCACCCAGGAAAGACTCATGCTGCTTGTGGATCTTGAGCGCAGACGACAGCTCAGAGAAGATGCTGTTGAAGGAGCGGGTCTTGATGCCCATTGGGGTACTGCGAGTGTTGCTACAGGGAGATTAGCTAATATAGAATATACGATGCATAAACACAACTTACCCGTGCATTGGGTCGCACTGCCAAACAACAACATGTCCACTGCTCTTCACAGCCTCGATATGCGCACCCAGCATCGACTCAACCTTGTCTGCACCATAGCGGGTAATTAGAGTAATCTTGCCAATCTCTTTATTGGGGTTGACGATATTGAGCAGCTCCACTAGCTCATCGTTCTTCATCGACGGCCCGACCTTGATACCAATTGGGTTTTCAATACCTCGGAAGTACTCTACGTGACCACCGTCGATCTGACGTGTTCGGTCTCCAATCCAGATGAAGTGTGCAGAAGTATTGTACCAGCCTTTACCATCATTTGACGGCTGAGAGGGTGTGTAGCCAGCTGGATGCTTGAGCCGTCTTGTTAAGCTCTGTTCGTACTCTAGTACAAGACCTTCGTGGCTGGTGAAGAGATCTACTGTTTGTAGTTGGCCAGAAGTATCCGCACCAATAGTCTTCATGAAGCGAAGAGAGTCAGATATGCTGTTTACAATCTGCGAGTACTTTGACTGTAGTTCCTCGTCTCGGACATGGCCAAGTTCCCAGTCCAATGGGTTGTGCAAGTCAGCGATGCCGCTTGCAAGCTGTGCACGGATGTAATTCAGTGTCGTCGCAGAGTGGAAGTAAGCGCTGACCAGCCGCTCTGGATCCACTCTCCTAGCCTCTGGATCGTAACCGTTGAGGATGTCGCCTCGAAAACTGGGGATCTCCTTGCCATCCAGCATCTCAGTAGGGCTTGATCTGGGCTTTGCATACTGTCCTGCAATACGGCCAATGCGAATGACGGGTTTATTTGAACCCCAAATCAAGACCAAACTCATCTGTAAAAGAAGTTTGATCTTGGCATCGATTGGGTTGTCGGCGCAGTAAGAGAACAGTTCGGCGCAGTCGCCTCCCTGGAGTAAGAAGGATTTGCCGAGGGCGGCATCACGCAGACTGGCCTTGAGTCTGGCAATCTCTGTTGGTGTGACAATGGGTGGTAGACTTGAAAGCTTCGTCAAAGCAGAAGTCACCGCTGCCTGGTCCTCATACGTGACAACCTGCTTGATAGGCTTTGACCTCCACGCTACATCTCGTCAGCATGTGTACTTGAGTAGTAGCATTCGCCCTCACAATCCGGTGACCATCCCTCAGACCCGCCATTCGTCGCTGACCCTTGGTTTGAAATCTCCATGATCTGTAGCTGAACTGGCGTCTACTGTCAACTGTGAGGTCGTAGATCTAACTGCGGAGTGAGTAAACTTTGCAAATCTCGCTCGTGGCCTACAACGTACGTGCTACCTTGCAGCAAACTACCATGTGCAGTGACTGGAGGAAAGTCAGCTCAAACCACGTTTGATGTTTGAGTCACTTTGATTACAGCGTTAATATAACAAAGCTCGGCAGGGGTGTCCATCCCTACCCAGACCGCGGGACACCCGAATAAAGGCGTGCAAAGTCGCGCATGACTCAAGAAAACCAAAAATCTGCCATCGAGCCGCAGACAAGCAGATGCCATAACTGGGTGCAGTGAACTCACCTTACAGTCCGAAAGCCAAACGTGTCCTAGAGCCCAGTGTAATGCAAAGCGACAAGTTCAATGTAACTCAAATGTTGTAAAATGCAAATCCAGTCCATATCCCATGTGCGCAATAAACCCCCCTCATTCCATCCAATCAGCACACTCGAATTTTCCAATTGGCCAGCATATCCAGAAATTCCCAGCAATTTACCCCACAACCCTCGTCACCGTCCACCCTCATTAATTAAGTTCCCTTCCATAGCTATTACTATACACCCATCCTCACGCACACCACCGCACTCCAATCGCAATGGCAGAACCCCAACCCTCCACTATCCACGAAGGCGCCTCCACCCCCGCCCTTGACGGCACGCCCTCGACCCCTTCCAATGGCGCGAAAAAAGAAGTCGACGGCAAAGCCCTCGATAAAGCGATGAAAGGGCTGAGCGTAAAGGACAAGGCGGAGGAGGAAAAGAAGAAGAACATTAAGATCGAGGCCGGGGATGTGGCAGTTTTGGTACGTTGGGTTTCCTTATATACACACGTATGGGATGAGACGGGGAAGGGGAAAAAGAGGAGGATCAATATACTGGTACTGTGAATAGTTGGGTTGACAATAATTCCGAAAATAGGTATCCGAGTTGGAAATTACAAAAGCGAAAGCGACGGAGTTGCTACGGGCGAATGAGGGGGATGCGGTCAAGGCTTTGGTTGCCTTTGTTACTGCGGCGCCTTGAAAGGGTGGGGTTGAGAGGGTAAGCGGAAGCGATACATAACGGCAATTGGATTGGGGTTTGGGGGTTGCTAGAGGATATATGGCGCGAAGATGCGCGTTGGCAGGAAAGAGGATAACGATAGCAAGGCTGCGCGACTTGCTGTTGTAGAAGGGGAACCTGATAAGAAGGTACGTGCGTGGATGTTTGCAGGAAGCCAGGACATATGTGAGAGATCCGTATGTTCATGTCAAGAGCAGAGGAAGACAGCTCCATATACTACATGCGTCAACCGCATGATTTACGTCTTCTAGCTAAGCAAATCGACAGATGAAGGAAGCTGGGTATCATACATGATATATTTACCAAATCTATAAATGCCTGCCTTGAATCGTGTTTCCTTTTGTCCCTCTGCTTTTCCGCTCCTCATTATACTGGTAAAGGCATCTCACTCGTCATCACTATTAAGAATGACGGGTCTCTTCCTCTTTCTATCAGCACCTGGTCGCGCTCCGCCCAAGTTCCCACTCCTCCTCTCAGTGGCCATCACCGGCGCAACATCAGACCCCCTCTTCCGCGGTCTGCCTGGCCTCCGGCACCCCACAGCACTGCCATGCCGTACAGACCTGCGCACGTCTTCATCTCCGTTTTCCTGGCTATCACCAGTAATGAACTTTTCATCTTCGTCCGTGTCCTCCACGTACTGGCTTGTCGTCGTCTCTTGTGATGTACCAGCTACGGACATTTCGCCATCACTCACTTCAATGTCGAGGCCAGTATCAGAGCCGGTAGACTCGTTTCTACAGAGACTGTTTCGCAGCTTCGACGCTCTCTTCACACCGGGCGTGCCAGTGGCAGTTTTGCGTGCTCGAAATGGACCTGGTAAAGACTTTGCAAGTGCCAATCTGGCTTCTTCCTCTAGCATTGCCGCCCTCTTAGCCGCTTTTGCGGCTCTAGCCTTTGCAGTAGCTGCCAGTATACGTGATCGGTCGCGCTCCACAACTGGCTGGCTGATTTTGCTGCCTGCATCCACTCTTTTCACCTTTTGCTTAGTCTCTTTGATCGCAACAACCTTGCCGTTTGGTTGCTTGAACTGTGCCGTCTTCTCTTTCGGATAATTATAATTAAAGTACAATTCTGTACCCGCCTTGATGTTGGTTGTGGCAAAGAGTGCTATGCGAAAGACAGTGTTGCAGAGGAGATTTCTCGGCGCACAGTTGGTGTATTTGTCGTCGGCATTGTTAATAAAGCGGAGCTTGTTGCCCATATATGTGGCGTCCACTTCTTGTTCTATGCGCTGATTAGGACTATATCAACAAGACACAATAAGAAAACTTACTCGAGTTCAGACGAAATAGATACATCGTCTTCTGATAGTCGTAGATGGTGAGTCTACGGTTGCCTTCATTGACTGAGATGGCTTCGCCAGTGTACTCGCCAATGTACTCTCCTTTCTCGATATCCTCGCCCATGTATAACCCAAATCCATGTACTTCTGAGTGTCCAAGCAACGTCTTTCGAGGAACACCCCGCTGAATTGCCACATTGAAACAGTTGCGGGCTACCACATCTTCGTTGTATCGATTGACAGGATCGAGGATCTCAGTCGCGCCACAGGACCCGCAGAGTTCTGCATCACACTCTCTGTTGAATTTGACACAGAGACATTTGTCTGAATCACAAACCCGCTTTCCTAGAATGACTAGACAACCGCAACCAGGGAACCGCCGATTGCATGATTGGGTGCACTTGCAAGTCTTTTCGCAGGTGATACCCTCCCTGTAGCACCGGCATCTTGCATCCTCGCAGCTACCTTCGTGATTACATGGGAAGAACGGTTTACGCTTCTCCCAGTGCTGCACAAGGTCCCGTTGCAACCACCAGTGCGCATTGAATTTTCCTGGTGGTGGTTTCGCGCCTCTAGATGCAATCATTTCTGATTCAGGATAGGCATTGAATGCGTCGGGATTTGCTGGTAGCTTGTAATTGATCACCTTCTCAATGTCTGAATCGTCGTCGAAATGCGCAGGCAAAGGACCCGAGTCTTCGTCGAGAGTGCTTCCAGAACCACGACGGCTACTTTGAGACTCATCATCTTCCTCGTCTGACTCAGTCATCCACGAATCTTCGGGAACTTGCCTTAGCTCGCCATGGAGAAGGCAATTATGCCTGGGAATGTCGTCAATACGTCAATACAGCACAGTATAGATTTGTACTTACTGGTGACACACCCTGCACCAAATCTGTCTATATGAAGATTGGTCAGGATTTTTTCCGCTTAAAGTCTTCCTCATAATATTGTTCTGGACAATATCAGACTGTTGAGCCAGATACCAGATGCTGAATTCGCATTCCTGTAGCACAGCAGAGCAAGCTATGGCCGCAAGCCTCATGGTCGTTGCAGAAGGTCTCTCGAGTTGTGCGATAAAGTCCTGCCATTTCTCATCGTCACGGTCGAATAGGGTTGTTTCCTTGAGCTCCTCGTCTCGCTCAAATTCCTCAATGCTATACTGCGATCTTTCAAGCACTATGGATGAGAAATTCTCGCTTCCAGACATGCTAGCATTGATCTGCTTGATAACATCATCGGGTGCCAGCAACCAGTATAGAACTTCGTTCCAAGTCACACCAATCTCGCTCAGGAAAGCTTCGATCCCAGTTTTGTAGAACCGACACTGCTCTTTCCGGAGATCGATTGGTCCCTTCTCGTCGTGTGTTAATTCGTATATAAACGGAAGCGCATCCAAAAGAGCCCGCCGGCTTTCGTAATCTTCATCTTCAAAGTATGGTGTCGCGAGCAACTTTGACTCGTTGTCGGCTAGAATGTTGTTTTTCAAGCTAACGTATTCCTTGAAAGGAGGTATGACGACAGCTTCCGACCGGAACTTTGTCGTATGAGCCGATAATCCGGACCGGAATACTGTATCTTTTGGTTTGGCTTTGACAAAAACCTCTTGTGCCATGTCAGGGAGACCTTTAGAAGCCCAGCTTCGATCAAACGGCATTTGTACGATAGGTATATCTGCAAAGGGAGAAGTGTGTTGAATGAATTCCTCCGGCAAAGTCGGCTGGGTAGGAAACTTCTGTTTGCGGCGGGCGCGGAGGTCTCGTTCTTGACACGTCCTTTGATGGCGCAGCTTAATCCAAGTCAACTTCGCATGCGCTTCGTTCCGCTCAGCAATATGCCGTTTTAGGCATTCATCTATTGCTGACCGCGTTGCAGCGAGATCATGCACGTGACTTGACCAAAAGCTATTGAGATTAGCAGCCACATCCTTCACAGGTGGTGTGGCTTTGCGGAAAGACGCCTCGACTGGTGTTGTGTTTGCCGTGCTGGATGCTGTCTCACTGAATGTCCGTGGAAGCGCTGCAGGATTATATCCATGGTACTCTTGGATTTTTGGATGATTATGAGGAACAGACCCAGCTCTTTCTTGAGGGTTCAAAGGCAGTGGATCCAGTGTGGCATCGCGGCCTTTTGGCCTTTCCGTTAGACTGACTTCAAGATTCGAAACGGTGCTATTCTGAGATAGGGGCCCTTGGAATGGTGCAGGGCTTACGGCTCGAGGTTCTGCATTGGTCGACTCTCTGTGAAATTGGACCTCATCTTGCAATGCGTATGGCGATTTGTGATGATAGTCTGTCGATTTGTGATTGTTTGTTGATTTGTGACTGCTTGTCGAATGTTGCAGCGCTCTGATCTGGACATAGTTTTTTTGCCTCACTGACTTGATCGCTTTCTGTTTCGGCTGAACCAAAGTGGCACTACCGGAGAAATCAGACATACGGGCTTTTGCAGCCATAGGAAACGGCGATTCGAGTTTGTTGGCATGCGCTGCCGCGGTTGCGCGCTCAGAGGTGTTTACGCGACGGCAAGTGGCCCGTTCGCGCTGATGGTCGGCGAGATCCCCGATTGGTTGCGAGAATGAAGGTACTGTGTCATTTGTTGCCACGGGTTTGTGCAACGGGTATGGGTAGTGTGCTTTGTCTTTGATAGATATAGAAAAGCCAGTATCGTGATTCAGTATTGCACCGATGGGAATAGCTGGCACAGACCTGACTGGGGATGTCTGCGATAGAAAGCTACTGGGTTGCGTAATCTCCAGTGGAGAGCGTGAGGTTGACAGCTGTGGGATGACCGTATCCTTGTACTGTTCAGGACGCTGAGCTGACGATAGACACACGTCCAGAATTGATTGGTTTAGTAGCTCTGCGCCTGTAAGTTGCTGCGTCACTCTGGGGTGGACTGGTTCGTCTTCATCGGTCAGCAGATCGATGATAGTGATGGGCTTGACTGATGGCGGCCGTTTCAGTGATGGTTCCGTAATACTTCTTTGTTCAACTTGTTGATGGCCCCTTAGTAGCTGGTTGACAGACTGTTTCACCCTTGCCCTTTGTGCGACGGCATGTTCCCAGGCAGTTTGATGCTCCATCTCTTCAATATCACCTTGCTCCAGCGTCTGCGTATTGAACCGTCTTACAGGCGGTATGGGTACAGGCGCATGTATATATCTGAAATTTTCATCATCATCGTTATCCTCAAAAGTGATAGGCGCGTCGAGGGAGTCGCCGCGTGCCATTGCGGTGAGCTGGGTCTGGATGAAGGAGAATCCACGCTCAAATCAGCGCAAGCGAAGAGCGGTGAGACCGAAAGATTGTAAGAGACATGATCACTCGAGAGGAGCCATCAAAGTCTCCAGCTTAATGTGTTACTGTGAGCATAGTCAGGTCGTATTGTTTCTCTGACCCGGCATCGTCCGTCGCGCTAATCTGTACGGAAGTCACGTCGTCACGTGGCTTACACAATCCCTGCAATTACTCCACCTCGGTCCCTTCAACCAAAGGCACAATTACACGAATGCAGTCAAGCATTTAGTCAATTGCGGTTAGAGACTAAAAGAAAAACGATAAATTATGTGTTTCATTAGCGAGGGGCTCCTTGCAGATGCCTGGCTCGAAGATAAACTAGAAAGTGATGATTGAATCATCTGAGTTACAAAAAAGCCCAGTCCGCCTCAAGAACCTCCAATTTCGAGCATCTTCTGCTACCCTACGAAATGGTGACCCATTCTTACTCCTGTACGAATGCAGTCCAGTACGGTTATTTCAGAGCGATTACTCACAAATCATGTCACGCAGCATTGAAGAAACTCCGCGCAAAAGGAAACCGCAAGCTACCCCAAATCCCTGCCAACAGTCTACCACAATTACAAAACTGTATCACCATTGCTTCGTCACCTAAAATCTATCCCAGAAAGTTTTGCTGTTGCTGCTGTCCGGGCCGTGGAAAGACACTTGTTGTCGGTACTTGGTCAAGGTTGATCCCTCCTAATGTCCCTTGACTGCCTGCATTCTGCCAACCCTGGCCTGTCTGCTGATTGACAAAGGCACTTTGTCGGAAAGGATTGGTGCTACCCGTTGCGTGCACAGTGAGTCCACCCTGTGGGGAGAGGGTGCTTTGTGGCGATGGCTGTCGTGCGAATGGATTTGTGCCAGCGGGCGTAGGCTGTAGGGGCTGGGGTTGTTGTTGTGGCGGCTGCTGTTGCAGAGCAAATGGTGACTCTTGAACTGAAGGCATGGAAAAGGGCGGAGAATTGACCGGCGACTGTGATTGTGCCGAAAGTCCAGTATTGTGTTTTGCAAACGGATTCGTTGACGCGCGGTTGAGTGAGCTGGCACCAGTCGGACTGCTGGGTAGCATCGATTGGCGGAATGGATTTGTTGAGGTTTGCTGAGGCTGCAGAGGCTGCATAGGCTCGGCAATGGTAGGAACCTGCATCTGATGTGGTTGCTGCTGTTGTGAGAAATCAGGCATGCCGTTCTGTGGTATTGATGGCATGGTATTCTGTGTGCTGAAAGGTTGTGGTGAATAGCCGCCAAAGCCTGCACCGGTGAACTGGGCCTGGAGTTGGGGCGCTTGGGGCTGTTGGCCTAGTTGGAAGGGATTCGTGCCCTGGCCGTTTTGCATTGGGAAAGGCTGTGGTTGTTGGGGGAAGCCCATGTTCGCTGTCTGCTGTGGAACCTGGAAGCCTGTTTGTTGGGGATACTGCTGCATCATTGGTTGTGTAGCCATGGTTTGTTGGTTGTCCTCGAGTGACTCAAACAGATCAATCAGAGGTGCGTTTGCAGAGGGCTTGGTCGGAGCTGCTGCTGGCTGCTGGCTAGTAGTATTGCTAGAGGCCGACTTCGAGTCCGTAGACTTGCTCGCCCCATTGGTGGACTTGCCCCCATTCTTTTTCGCCTCCTTCTCGGCAATATACTGTCGTCGATTGATCTCAAAGTCCTTATCGGCCAGGTACTCTTCCAACGATGCAGCCAGACTGGTCGGGGCATGCTTGATTCGTGGAATCTCCAATCGTGTTGAGTGTTCATGCGATCTTGCGAGGCTAAGGTATTGGACAACAGCTTCAGTTTGCTTGACGAAAGTGCGGTACACTGCGAGGGCGCGTGTTGCGTCGGGTTTTGATAGTTCGAAGTAGTGTTCTGATTCGTTAGTACGGCAAAACATGAGTATGCACGCTCAACCCACCGAGAATGTTGATAGTGCCCTCGTTCATGACGTGGAAGAGCACTAATAAGTCCATTGTGAGCAGTCGGAAGGCAGTCAGCGTGATTTCGTTTTCGGGCTCGTCATCGAATGGCTGTTGGGGTTAAAGTCAGCGCGGGTGTGAATATTGCTGACAAGGGGCATCCTCATACCTGACACTTGAGCAGCGCTCTGATCTGGTCCTGTACGCTCTCTGCTTCACGTAGGAGGCCCTTCTCTACGGTCAGGCGCTTGAGGCGGCCCTCACCGCCACGCACGTAGTCGACCTTGGTGGAGCCATATTCGATGGCGCGGCGGAGCAGGTATTCGGAATAGGTGCGGATATTGTGTCCCTGGGTCTGCACTGTTGGGCGCAACGTCAGCGGTTGAGTCCTGTCAACTAGCACAAGCCAAAGTTTATCCGGCTATCACCCCAATAAGCCCGGCCAGCGGATTCGCTGTCCGAGCACTGCGGCGTACATGTCTCGAGACGTACCTTCTGTAAAGTGATTGATGGCCAGTTTCCGGTGGGGATTCTGGGCGAGGAATTTGAGTGTAACCTCGGGCTCGCCCTCCCTTATCATCAAGTGGACAATGATAAGGCTCTTGAAGACAATGGTCCATGTCGAGTCGCGCAGACGGTTGGTAAGGGCGCGGAAGATTTCAGCGACGCCTGCTTCGCCGGCGTGTGTCGCAACGAGAATGTGTTCGACATACTTTGATTTCGGTGCTGCGAGCTGGCGGGTGTGTTAGTCCGTGGCAATGACGATAGTAGCGGCGATGAGCCGGCTGCGACTCGGTGCAGAGGCAGCGCATACTTGCCTTGATCTTGGTGCCGCCCTTGACGCTCTTCTCAAAGGAGCTGGCCATGGGATGCTAGGAATACTGCCGCGCCGGGCAGATGGGTGCCCGACTGGGCCGCTGGCAAGACGCTCCGGCAGTCGTCCGGGTCCAGATGAAGATGGTCGCGTTGCACTATCGCAATGGCTCTGCTGGTCCTAGGGTAGCATTACGGCGCGGGGGCAGGGCGGAAGAGATGTGGGCTCGACGGGAGGGACGTGGGTTATGAATAGAGGAGAGGGTGAGGTGAGGCCTGTAGGTCGCAGCACCGCGGTCGATGGCCGCCGTTATTAGAGCTGGCCGGGGTGGAGGAGCGAGGCAGGGCGCATGGTGGAGCTTGCTCAGGTCCCTTGGGCGATGACGCTCCCTGTCTCTTCTTGGTTGCGCCCACCGCTCTCAGGGTCCCGCCTGTCCTCCCCCTCCCCCTCCAAACACGAAACTTTTTTTCAACACACCGCATACACACAGCCAGACAGCCACACCACAAAATGTCTGCTTCACCGCCCCCAGAGGAACGCGAAAAGGCTGACGCCGATGCCCGCGCAAAGGAGCAGGCTGAGCAGGCCACTTTGCCGTACAAGTGGGACCAGACCATCAAGGACCTTGACATCACCATCACCATTGACGCCAAGTATAAAGGCAAGGACCTCGACATCAACATTGGTCGCAACTCCATCAAGGCTGGCATCAAGGGCGAGACACCCATCCTGCACGGCGACTTCCCCCACTCCATCCGCGTCGACGACTCCACCTGGACACTAGCCTCGACCGGCTCCGCAAAAGAAATCTCAATCCATCTCGACAAAGTCAACCAGCTCGAGTGGTGGCCTCATGTTGTCACCACTGCCCCCAAGATCGATACCTCCAAGATCCAGCCTGAGAACAGCAAGCTGGGCGACCTCGACGGAGAGACGCGGGGCATGGTCGAGAAGATGATGTACGACCAGAGGCAAAAGGAACAGGGCAAGCCTACCAGCGACGAGCAGAAAAAGGCCGACATCTTGAAGAAGTTTCAGGAGCAACATCCTGAGATGGACTTTTCAAATGCCAAAATCGGCTGATGAGATACGTAATTATGGGCACTCCAGCCACGTGACGAAGAATACGCTCATGGACGTGATAAAGATAAACCAGCGGAGGAACCACAAGGCCACACTGGGTCGTACGCATAGAAGGCAATTAGCGATCGGCGATGTCCGGATTGCCGGCAAGGATGTGCTGACACGAACAGACTAAAATGTACTATACGAGATTGGACAGCCATAAACACGGTTTCATTGAGCATCCGATCCTAGTCGATTATGTGAGATAGAATTCAAATTCTAGGATGATTACGAAAAAGGGACTGTTTGAGATTGCGTTCTCAGTGCAATACTATTGGCTCCTGGTCAAGCATGCAATGCTGGAAAGTGCAAACCATAGAATGCTGTGCGCCAAACAACTGGGATATCATGCCATCAAGCTCAAGGATCAAACTAAGCCGCCCAAAGTGACCGGAACCAAGAAATTGAAATATACAACGATAGCCCAAGACCGCTGGATTGATCGCCTCTTGAAGCCAATTTACAGTAAAAGAAAACAAATGTTGAAAAGATAGGAGTCGTGACATGATGGCACAACATGACGAAGAGCGTCCCACTGCTAGCATGCCAGAGCACTGCAACGATATAGAGGAACACAACCGCATCATCTCGATATCTGTTTGCTACATCGATCATTATCTTTCACGTGATTGTTTTTCGGCGACTTGATCTGGCGTGCCTGCATATCGTGCCCGAAGATATCGCTCATCTCAACATCCACAGCCGATTCCTGTGTTAGCTGCGAACTCACCGTCATCTCTTTGACACTCACCTCTCTCCATGGTTGATATTGCGCATACCTGCCTGTGATCTTTTCAACTACCATGCTCCACGCACGCCTACACTCTGCTCTTGTAGTGAAGATATAAATGATTGCGTTCCAGGCACCTTGAAGCGGCAGGACCGTCGCGGAAAGAATATTCAGAGCAAAGTTGGGCCGGTCTTTGTGCGTGAATTGGTACATGCGGTTTATACTGCTGGGCAGCCAGACAACAAATAACGCTAAGAACATGAGGAAGGCAACGTATAAGTATGCCATTGCTGCAGCATGGCCATCTAGTGTTCTTTTAGCTGCAGGTCGGGGTTTTGATATCGCTGTTGGCAGTACGTCCATGGGTTCTGGAGGTGGGCTTGTGGCAATCATCGTTGCTCTGTAGCTGCTTCGTGATGGTGGGGTGTGGTGAAAGTGGAGTTGCGCTTCCACGTCCTCAATTAGCAATCTGGAAATCCGGGTCGGAGAAGCATCGTGGAGCGGGCCTGAAATCAGCTCATCGGGTCTACGGATCCTGGAAAGTCTCTGCGTGCTCGAGAAGGAGTTGATCGAAATGCAATCTGGATCCGGAGAGACACTCCTGAACCTATCACCTTGGTGCTGGATATCGCACTCAATCTGTGTTGTCACAACGATGTTATTCCTTCCAAAAAAAACATCTCCGGTCCTTTCTCTTTCGTCGCTCGCATCCCGTACTGTTACGAATTGATTCGAGTCCCGAGAACAAAACCGCAATTCGACTTGCTTCTGCCAAATTCGGTACCCCGTCACACTGTAAATGGTGATAGCCGCCAAAATCGTGACCCTTTACAGCTCCTATCAGTAACTTATAAGCAAGCATCTGAGAGAGGACAGGAACCCACCACGCAGGAACATAGAAGAATGCTATGCGCATCCACTCAACATCAACAGATACCCAGCACCATAGCGTCGCAGAACCTATAACGGGATGGCCAGTTCGGCTAAGCACGACATAAGCTATAACCGGTATACACGGAATACCGTAGCTAAAAGCAAAATACCATTTCTCCAAATGGCGCAGTTGCTGCGCGTCATAACCGTAAAAGAAGACGAGGAAGACGTTTGTGGCCATGCAAAGAACCCAGAAGGAATCAGCAACCATGAACCATTGGATGAGAAGGCCTTGGAATTCACACAGGCCAGATGCCGGTTCACCCGGTGCTGGTAACACCGAGTTCGACATTAGTGTTGCGACATTTGTGAGAATATTGCCTAGCGTGGCGTAGAAGACTAGGCGGTTGATTGCTGGTAGAGCGAGTCAGTCCATCGTACCAGAAAAACTTGTCGCTCGACTCACGTTTTCGGAAAAAGGTAAGGGAGATGAATGTGCTGACAATGATACTGGATCCCACGACCGAGAGTATCGATGCTATCCGTGTGGCGACTACAAAGGCGAGGGTTTTGTTGTATGGGAGTTCGGCGGCCATGTCTGAGGGATGGAAAAGAGGGCGTATGTGCAGGATCTTGATGAAAACGGTGGTGGTATTTCGAGACAATTGTTATACCATCCATTCAACAATGTGAAATGGACGACTGGTATACCACAAAGACATTGACGAGACTCTCGAGAGTGCGAAAGATACGAACGTATGGTCCTGGAGCCTACCCACTGTGCAAGGGCTTAGATCTCGTCCCCCCGAAGGGATGACTACGAGCATCCCAAGTGTACTGCCAAGCTACCCCGGACAAAGGCGGGATTCAATTTTGAGATGTGAGGCGCGTACTCCAGCTCTATCAGAGTCGCAGTGTCTCTTTACAGTAAACGGTATCGTGCTACGAAGATGGCTTAGCAACGAGAATACAGGATTCGCCCCCTCCCCTTCTCTCACATGAGCACGACGTTGGACAAGTGACCTGAAAACGAGTTTTCGAGGGAAAGCAAGAAATGCAAAGCCAAAAACAGTCAGCCGGATTTCGGGTAATGTCGTGCTGACGGATGGAATGAGAGAAGCAATACTGACTTAACGGCTCGAGGTGTACTCTACCGCGCCCGTATCACGAAGGATCGTATTAACTCGATTGGCTGTTTTCAGCACCATTCGCATTGACACTCAAAACGCATCTATACTGCCACGATGGTATCTGTTATCATGTGCAATAACTTTCGCCCATCCACATAGAACACCTAAAAAACCCCAGCCCACATAGTAATAGCAACCATACCCTAGTGCCCGCCATCGTCAACCCCATCCCCCCTATCGACCTTCCAACGCACTTACCCCCTCAAGCAACATGGCGCTGTACCGTTTCTTGAAGCTGAGCTCACCTACCAATCAATTCATCTACACACCAACAATGCCAAGGGCAGTTCAGCCGTTGCCTCAGAACAACGACCATCGCCAAGACCAACCCCATCACGCCCTTCCCGCAACTCCTACCTTCAACGCCAATTGGCCGGGCCGTCCCTGCGTCCATCCATGACTTGCGCAAAGCACCGCGCCACAATTCATCAAAGAAAATGGCGGGAATTCCCTTGCAGCGCCATGGCTTAGAGGTGCCGGACGGGCCAACGCCGCGGACGGGCCAACGCCGGATTACGTCCTCCAACACCAATTATTCTATCCACTTCAACCACCTATAACGTGACCATAATGCAATCAATTAACGCTGCGCTTACTGCTATTAACGCGCTAAAGCCTAATGAAAAGCTTGTATACTCTCAAATTGCAAAAAAATATGGTGTTGACTTAGGAACGCTGAGCCGCCGCTACCGAGGTATTTCTAGCTCTAGATAAGTAGCTGTATAAAACTAGTAGGCAGTCCACCTATAATATGAAGCTAAGCTTATCAATTATATTGATAGACTTACTAAGCGAGGCCTACTACCTACACGGAGTATTATTCGAAATATCGTATCGCAGCTAGCTTAGAAGCAGCTTGGATACTACTAGATTGATCGCTTTATTTATCACAACTCGCATCTTATTGTACTTAAGCGCACTACGCTAATCGATCGCAGCCGGCGCCGAGCTGATTTAGAAAAGAAATATCAGCTCTACTTCGAGCTTCTACGCTAAAAAATCGATTAATATAAGGTAGAGCCGCGATATATATATAATATGGATGAGAAAGGCTTTATAATTAGAGTACAGTCCTGTTTAGTCTGAATCTTTTCTAAAGCTGCTCTTAAGTTTAAGTTGAAAAGATTAAATATTTAACATAGTAATCGCGAATGGATTACGCTGATCGCGTGTATCTGCGTGGATGGATTGTATCTAGATCTAAGCATTATCTACTCTAGTAAATCTAGCTCTATCTAGAACTTATGGCTCTAAGGTTTTGATCTAGATATACATACTGTGTATATTACCGCATTAGCTACTAGCTGGTTGAATGATAATATTAGTCTCTAATAGCTTAAATAAGTATTTGATCTAGCTACTAAGCTAAAAGCTCGATCTTCTTACTGATTACTTATTATAGATGGGCACTATAGTTATATAATAATAGATTTTATTAACTATTGTAATTAGAATAAGATACTATTAGCTATCTTTCCGCCGCACTTAACGCATACGCTGCAGCTGCTGTAACGGCGCAGGCAAGACTACTCGGATCAGTATCGGCAGTAGCGTCACTCAGAGGCATATGGGAGTGCGTGGGACATCAAACGAGCCTTGATTCGAATAGACACCTATAGGCCTTGTACGAAAGGATATCAAAAATCTATCGAGCTACGGTATGGAGAAGGTGGGGTTTTATATCAGCAGATCTGCCCTCGGCTAGTGCGTGCCCATGTTCGGAT